CAGGCTCTGGGCCCCAGGGGCTGGGCTGCGCAGGCCAGCGGCGCGGCCAGGATAGAAGCTGCGTCCTAGCCAGCTCCGGGGGCGGCTTCCCAGAAGGCCGGGGTGCCCCCATGGAACTCCCCCCCCCACCATGGGGGTTTCCAGCAGTTCCCAGATGAGCTGCGCTCCCCTGGGCCCGGGTATCCCCGCAGGGAGCTGCCCTAGCAGGGGAGGGGCCGGGACCGGGGCAGGAAGGGGTTAATGGGTGCGCCAGACACACCTTTCTTAGCCCCAACCCTTCTGGTCCCACAGGCCCTGCCCACCAGACCGCAGCATCATGAGGCCGTCGCTGGCCCCAAGTGGAAGGGGGACCCCGGAAGCAGCGCAGAGCACCCCCCATCCCCCGCACTTTACTGTCAGGTTGGTGTGGGGTGAGCCCGAGGCCTCTGGGCTCCCAGGACCCCCCCAGCTGGGTGGACCTCAACTCACCCCTTTAAGCTGGGATTTTCTCTCCCCCAGCACCCACCTGGACCTCGAGTCAAGTCCCCTTTAACTTTGCAGTTTTCTCCCCCCCAGGCAGAAACCTGAGCGCCCCCCCAGACAGTGGCGGGAGCAGGCAGCAGCAGAGGCAGTGTTTATTGGGGTCAGGGGTCATTCGGGGATGTCAATGACAAGCTCGTCGTCGCCATCCAGGGGGTCGTCGCCACTGCCCTCGGCCGTGTCGCTGAACATCTGCTGCGGCACCGTGCAGGGCACTGGCGGCGGCGGCAGCTTGGCCGAGGCCGAGAGCGGGGGCAGGGCGCCTGGGCCCCCACCCCGGCCTGGCCCAAACCCCAGCGCCCCCCCCACCGAACACTCGGCCGATGCCATCTGCAGGGGAGGGAGTGTGTCAGCGTAGCTATCTTGGGGCCTGGCACGCACCACCACCTCCCCCCAGGGCCTGGCAGCCACCTTGGCGCCAGGCGCTCCCCCCCATCCACCTGTGTCGTACCTGGAGCTTGCGGGGGGCCTTGGCGGGGGGGTCGGGGGCCTGCCGGGCAGCTCCAGGCTCAGGCGCCAGGTACTCGGCAGGAAAGGGGCTGTAGGGGGGAGACGCCATCTGTGGAGGGGAAGGAGGAGAATAAGCTGCCATGTGGTCTTACCCCACCCCCTGCACGTGGGTGCTTAGGAGCAGGGAGATTTGGCCACCCCAGCTGCCGGCCAAGCAAGCCCACCATGTTGGAACTTGGCAAGGCCCAAAGTAGGCGTACTACGCCCTTGCTAAACATAATAAAAGAAGCCCCGTCAACCATACTGTGTACTGGCAAAGAAACCCACCTGTGCCACTCCGACCAGAGCCCCACCCCCTGCACAGGGAGGCCTGTCAGCCATCTTGGACCCTGGCATTTGCCCTTTTCTGGTCACAGCAGCCATCTTTGGTGCTGGCAAATGACACTGATAGTCTCTGTAGGGGGTTTCCCTGCTCCCTGCCCACCCTGCAAAAGCAGGGGATGGAGAGACTGGTTCCTACTCACCGAGCTCAGGTAGGGGGAGGGGGCTCCAGACCCCGGCAGCGGGAAGGCGGTGGTCGCTTGCAGGGAGAGGCCAGAGGACGACGGGGACGAGGCGCCGCCCAGCTGGGGGCTCCGCTTCCTGGGGGACAAAGACACGTTGTGGGGGCTACAGGCAGGGAGGATTTGGCCGCCACATCTGAGCCTGGCAAGCCCCGGGCGCACACCCAGACAGGCACACTGAACACTATTTTCCCCGCCGACCCCCCCACAAGGGGGCCACGACCGTCCGTGGCACGAGTAGACGACCGTCACCCGGCAAAGCCTTGACCGTCGTGTTGAAAGCTGGTGTTTTGGCTTCACAATGCCCGCCCCCCCGAGCATGCTCCGCACAAGCGTGCGCGTGGGACCTCACCTCTTCAGGGGCGGGGGCTCGGCTGCGCCCTTGGGCCCGTCCCCGTCGCTGTTGTCGGACGAGGCCGTTGCCTCCGAGTCTGCGGCCAGGGGGAAAGGAGACGTCAGGGGGACGCAGACCCGCGGCCCTCACGCACGGACCTGGGGCCCCCCGAAATCCGTACCCGAGGACTCCTCGTCCACGTGCTCGTACTGCAACAGCCGGTCCAGCAGGAAGCTGCGGGGGTGAAAGAGCGGCGCTGTCACGGCGCTGTCACGGCGCCCCGCGCTGCCCCCCCTGCGGCCCCCTCACCTCTTATCCCGCGACACCTTGAGCAGTCTGCGCTGCGCCTTCCTCAGCTCCTCCTGGAAGCACTCCTGCTCCTGGG